CAGGCTTCCTCATTGAGTGAATTCACCAACGTCTCCATATTACATAGTGTAAAAACCCACATTTGAAGGCTTTCACCTTTAGGAGTTTAGCTGGTGGCAAAGGATGGTGGGAAATTTAAATGTTAATAGCTTGAACATGTGGCAGAGGGTCTATCTGGACAGGGGAGGGCAGCACAATCAGCAGTGGTGACATCCTCAATGTCTGTAGAGGAGGAGGGGAGAGTCCTCAAAAAGTTCTCGAAACAAAGTAGTCAGAGGTGTAACTCATTTCCCTGAAGCAAAATAGGTAACTGAAGGAAGAGAGATTGAATAAGAGCACTCGGGTGCCAGGGGTCCAGAGCCCCACCTTGACAGAGCGGCAGTCTCTGGGAACCCTCTGCCATTGACACACCAAAAAATAGAACCATGTGATGTTGAGTACACCATTCAGGGACATGCCAGTCTTGGCCAGCAGAAAAACTCAGAACTGAAAATAATAGAGACATATAACCTCTAGGGAATCAAGCAAGGCTTTGGAGAGGTGAGTGACTATTCTCTGCTAAGTATTTTTGTTTTTGTTTTTGTTTTTGTTTGTTGGTGCTCGGGATGGAACCCAGGGGTACTCTACCACTGAACTCCATCCTCAGCCCCCTTTTATCATTATTATTATTATTATTATTATTATTATTATTATTATTATTATTATTATTATCATCATCATCTTTTAAGACAGGCCCTCACTCATTGTTGGGTCTGGCCTCAAACTTGCCATCCTCCTGCCTCAGCCTCCAGAGTTGCTGGGACTACAGATGTGCACCACTCTGCCCAGCAGTTTTTGAAATTTTGAAATCTGTATTGAATTTAAAATATGTACATATATGTGTATAAGTGATACACACACACACACACACACACACATATGTATTTTTTTTTTTCTTTTTTAGTTACAGTGGTTGTTTTTAAAAGGAACTTTGTTGTGCACAAGGAGAATGAGACATTCGTTGCTGGTTTCCTAGGGGAGATGGCAAGTGGTTCATTCTCAAACCAAGAGCCCAGAAATGGGCCCACGGAGCCTTTGTAGCTGCTGTGTGACAACAGGCAATTCCAAACCACTGCCTCCTCTTTCCTTGTTGTTCTCTGGGCTTTCTTGACAATAGAAATGCCAGTGTGAATGATGGGAGGTGTGGCCCTCTTTCCTGGCTGGCTCTAGGCCAGCTGAATCCTAGAAAGAAAACACAGCTCCTTCTTCTGGCCTGAGTGGTCCGGGCAGTAGTTGAGGACAGCACCAGGGCCAGAGGGAGGCTTGGCCTGTGGGAGTGGCAGGGTGGACACCTGGCTGGTGGGGCTGGTCAGGCTCTGCCCTCTGAGTCCCCGGGATCTACCTGTCCAAAGCCAGCTCTGCTCCAGGATCCACAGGCAGCTGAAGGAGAGCTGGAAGGAGCTGGCTCAGAACCCTGGCCAGAGACCCAGGGTTTGCAGGCCTCCTCCTTCACCCAACAAGCACATCAAGAGCTCTTTCATGCCAGGGTGGTGGCTCTACCCATAATCTCAGCAACCCTGAAGGCTGAGATAGGAGGATTCCAAATTCAAGGCCAGCCTCAGCAACTTAACAAGACCTTGTCTCAATAACAAATAAAAAGGGGCTGGGGTTGTAGCTCAGAGGTGGAAGGTCCCTGGGTTCAATCCCTATTCCCCCTCACCCCTACCCACCCCATAGACAAGAGCCCTCTCTGCCCAGTGCTGAGCTAGTACTGAGCCTCTAAGGAGGGTGATATGGTGGAGAGGGTCAGATTCAGCGATGCATTGCCGAGGTGGCCCAGGCTGGACAGTGTGGCCAGTGACTCTTCCCCTTCTGCTCTCCACTCCAGGGCTCGAAGGAGGCCAAGTCCACAGAATCTTGGGCCCATCGGGTGCTCTGGGGAAAGGGGCTTTGTACTCAAGTACAGACTGGAAACTTGTCCCAGTCTCGGCTTACTCACAACAGGCCCCAGACTCGCTAAATTCTAATCTCAACTCCAAGGAGACTTTGTCTTCCTGGAGACATACGGCAATGTCTGAAGACATTCTTGACTGTCACCAAAGCAGGGAGGTGCCCACCGGCATCTGCTGGGTGGAGGCCAGGCCTGCGGCTAAACACCCGATAGTGCACGGGGAGGCCCCACTGTAGAGACGGGAGACTTTGGATGAGGAGCCTGAATGACAGTGGTACCCAGGGTAGGAAGCTCTGCTCTCAGGTGACTCAGGACATCCGTTCAGTGCAGGTGAGTCCCAAGCCCAGCACCTAGCAGGAAGAACTTGTCCTTGATCCTAAGGCCCACCTGTTGATGCACCCCCGCATTTTAGTATCTTGGACATCAGACGCATCGAGGCATCAACATCGTGTATCCTAATTGACCTGGAGACATCTTTTTTTCTGTTTTAAGCACACTTAAAACCCGGGTGCATCTAACACTCAGTGCCATTTTAGATCTGTGAGGTGACAACTTGTTAAACCGTGGCCTTGGGCTCTTTGCCTCTCCCTGCAGGGCCTCTGCTTTCCCCATTCACAAATTCTGAGCCAGAAGGAGGGTCCTGGCTGAGGGCCTGGCCAGCCCTCTTGGCTCACTAAGGCTCAAAGCTTTCTACCCCGGGGCTTGAAGATGTCTCTGTGACTCCATCCGCCCATGGGGATGAAAGGGAAGAGAACCCACCAGTCAGGCAATAACAGAATCCAGGGTATTTTGATGTCTTCCTCACCCATTTTGGAACCTAAATTTCATAATAAAGAATAAAGTAGTAGCCACATTGGTATTTTTCTCTGTAGGGCCCAGCTAATTTTTTTTCTCCCCACCCCCACCCCCACCCTAATTTCTTTCCTCATTCAGTTTTGCAGACAGCTTTCAAGAGGCTGAGATTTCTTCTGGCAAAAGAAATAGAGATGCAACAAAGACACGATGTTGTTTCAAGAATCTCAATTCCCAGCCAGGCCCTGTGAGGATGGGATCCCAGTGACTCAGGAGGCTGAGGCAATAGGATCGCAAGTCAGAGGCTAGCCTCAGCAACCTAGAGGGACCCTCAGAAATTTAGCAAGACCCTGTCTCAAGATAAAATAAAAAGGGCTCGGGACCTGTGGCTCAGTGGTAGATGGCCCCTGGGTTTGATCCCCAGTACCGTAAACAACCATCACCCCACCACTCTGCATCCTTGGGCTGTGAGGGGATGTTTCTCCCATCCCCCACCCCCTCTGGGTTGGGGGAGGGGCTTATGTCTTGGTCTTTTTTATTTTGTGAAAGGCATTGGGTGCCACCTTCTCATTCCAAAATATGCGAGCTGTTCTCGGGAACAGGAATCTGGCAACCAGACAAGACAGACACGCTGATTTCTGCTCCCAGGGAACCTACCAAATGGGGCAGTTGCAAACAAGCACATGCACAAAATGTGTCAGGTATTCCTTGCACGTTCGGATGTAAAGAATGTGACAGAGAGTGACTAGGGAATCAGGGAAGGCCTCCGTGAGGAAGTGACATTTAGGTCAAGATTTAGGGACAATGACAAGATGGGTGTGTGTGTGTGTGTGTGTGTGTGTGTGTGTAAGGGGGGAAGGTTCTGGGCCATGCACCAGCTAGTGCAAAGGACCTGAGGCAGGACCAAGAGTGGTAGGTTTGAGAACGGAAGGTGGGCCCCTGAGCCTGTCTGGAGGGCGGGGACCAGCTCCAGGTGGTATGCAGATGAGGAGGGGTTTTGTGGGGGCAGAGCCAGCCCAGCCTGGTAAACCTGAGGAATGTGCTGGGATTTCATTCAGTGTTGTGGCTGGGGAGCTAATGCTATGGAGTTGTGCTATCTGCCCAGGAAGCTGTCAGGCTGCCCTTGGCTGTGTTAAGACTCTTCTTGGTTAGCAGGAGGGGGGGGTGCGGTTACCTGCAAAGTGGGGGTTAGAGCTGTGTGGAAAACCCAGCCACGTTTCCTGACCTCAAACCTCCCCTCTGGGGGCTCCCGAAGGAGAACGTGGAAACACAGGTCAGGAAGAATGTCCCTGGGAACGCAAAGGAACCCCTCCAAACCCGCAGGAGGCAGATCCTTTT